GATAATATATACAAATGAAAATGACAGTCTTAGAAAAAAATTTGTATAATAAGAAATGCTACCTAATTCCTAAGTCATGAGTAAACAACAACAGACTGTGGTCATTTCTGACGCTGCAGTTTTTCTAAGTATTTATTTACTGTAAGTATCAAATGGAATACTTACTTTAAGCATTTACTTTCAATATTACAGCATTGATGTATTAATTTACGATAAGTATTACCTTAGTACCTGTCCTAATAGCAGTAAAACACCTCTATCCACATCCTTCTCCTCACAAAGCACCAGCTTTCAGGAAATAAAATCTGGAACTAAGAAATCTGATTAGCTAGTCATTGGCTATTGTGGAAGAAGATTGCTACCTTCCTCTTGAAAGCATGGTGAAGTTCTAAATCTTGTACACATTGACATACTCTGTGATCCAGTCCTCATCCTGAGTTGATACTAAAATGATTTCAAATCATGTAGGTCTTGGTAAGGAGTTTAGATTATATTCTCAGCACAGCAAAAACCCATTAGAAAGTAATAAGTCAGCCGGGCTCGGCGGCTCAGCCTGTAATCCCGCACCTTTGGGAGGCTGAGTGGATTGCCTGAGTCCGCGGGTTCGAGACCCGCCTGGGCAGCGAGACCTCATCTCTACAATAAATCAAAAAATCAGCCGGGCGTGGTAGCGCAGGCCTGTAATTCCAGCTGTCGGAAGGCTGAGGCGGAAGGAACGCAGGAGCCCAGCAGGAGCCCAGTGGCCGCTGCACTCCGATCTGGGCGACGGAGTGAGACTCCAACTCAAAAAAAAAAAAAAAGGACTAAGTAAGGGAGTAAGATGACATCTTTAAAACCTCCATCAGCGTCCTATGCGGATTGAGATGAAGAGATGTGTGAAAGTGGGGAGTAAGAACTCTGTTTTAGTCTGGATGAGAGATAACTGAGGCTTCACCAAAGGTGGTGGCAGCCAAGAGGTGAAAAGACACAGGATATGTTGGAAATAGCGCTAAAGAGATTTTCCTATGAAGGAAACTGGGAGGTTGGGGAGTCAGAGAGAAATCTTAGGTTATTCACTGAGTAACTATGTCATCTGGTGACAAAAAGAGTTATTAAGAGTTGTGCTCTAGACATGATCAGTTGGGGATATCTTTTAATCATCCGTGTAGAGATGTGGAAAAAGATCAGAAACACAGGTCTGAAGTCCAAAAGGTGGTTATCATTTGAAAGTCATCAACATAGAGCTGAGGCTTATGCTTCGAACCTAGAGTAATTCATTCATTCATCCATTCATTCAACAAATATTATTCTAATATGAACCAGGTACTGTGCGGGGTATTAGGAATACAACATTGAAAAATTTTCAGATAAAAATACTTGCCTTGTTATGCGTACATTCTATGATAAGATTCCCTGGAAAGAAGAAGTAGAAAGCAAGAAGGAAATCCAAGACAGATCTCTGGACATCCCCATCTGGACTGGATGACTAGGGAGGCAGAGCCTGGGAGAGTACAATGAAAAAGGCATCAGGCGACTGTGGAATCTCTGAAACCACAATGAGAGAAAGTGTCTCAGTCTTTTCAACCTTTTTTCAACAACTGTTCGGCTTTGTAAATGCATATTGAGGGGGAGAAGTTTAGAAATGTAAAAATAATTTTTCAATTGGATGATAATGAGATTATATTCACAAGACCTAAAGAAATGGCAGACAGAATTTGTGTTCAAGTGGGATGAGGCAAAATGCAGGAGGGATAAGAAACTGGGGGTGATGAATGTGCACTTTCGATAAGTTTTACTGTCAAGGAGAGCTGAGAAATAGACAACTGACTAGAGGGAAAATGGGGGTAGACTTATCATGTGACATTGAAAGTCCTAAACAGAGTATATGGCACAGAGTTAGCATTCAATAGATATTACACATTACTATTGTTGGTAAGTGAGATTTAATTTTAATAATAATAATTTACTAACAATACGTTGTCACTGAACTCGAGAGTAATGGATTTTCCACCGAAAATCTTAAAATTAATTCAAATACATAAATAGTGAATTCACAAATGAATAAACATGAATTAAAAATAGACATCTCCCGGGCTCGGTGGCTCAGCCTGCAATCCCGCGCCTTGGGAAGCTGAGGTGAGTGGATTGC